CTGCGCTAGGCTGTCCTGGGAGGTCACCTCCGCAGCCCGCGCGTCCTCGAGGCCTTGTCAGCCTTCAGCGTGCACATCTGCCCGCCGCAAAAGGGGAGCCAGCCGTGGCTGAGGCGCCCGCGCCTTCCCCAGGGGCGCCTGCCGGATCCGTGCCCTGAGCCGTCCTGCCATGGCACGGAGGGAAGGACGGGCCGCTCGCCCGGCTCAGTGAAGTGCCGGGCTGGACCAGAGAGGTGCCAGTGACGTGACTAAGAGAAACACTTTACCGTTAAAACTGAAGCGATCACAACTTTCGGATTCTGCTCCTTTCCGTCGCTCTTGTTGCTGCGTTTGTAGACAAACCACCAACAGCCTGGAACCCCCACTGCGTGAAATGGAGGCTGCAAATACTGAGCATCCTTGAGGCTCGGGTCACTAATGGCTCTTCTCACGTGTTTACCCAATGCACAAAGTAGGGATAATAGCTTTCTTTTATCACAGAGGGGTGTTATTAACGTGAATTAATAAGAATTTGCAAAGTACATGTAGATCTTGGGATTAAAAGGCTCATTTCAGAGGGCTGTTACTACATAAAAACAAACACATGCACACAAGCAAGAATGTTAAATGCATGCAATCATTCATAATGTGCACTTACGTAGCTGCTCTTTTCTAAGGTTTACTGAGAGCTACACAATTAATTTAGCCAAACATCCCCCTGTGAGGTAAGCAATAGATTATTTTATTGACAGAGAAACACACAGTGTGATGAGTATCAAGTTACCAAAGTCAGATATCTGTTCCTACTTCAATCACTCCTGAACTCCTTTACTATTAAGCAATACATTTATAGATATATCTTATGAAACATGCTAGCTTGCCTTTCTTGGAGGTTAGGGAGATAGGCAATAAAAATGCAAAGGTTTATTTTCCTAATGGATCAACTAATAGATGGAAACAGATAGTAGGCTGAAAATAGAGTCCACATTAATATGGGACATATTTGTGCTTCACATCAAATAAGAGAGCCTGGGAGAGGTAATTTTCAGCTAGTCATCCTCTACATATCTCTGCAGGGTTGATTGTTTTATTGACTTCTCAAAAGCAACCTTGGCTACCCAGTTTCAAAGTGGCTGAAGTGCTTGGTTATCTACCCTATATCTGAAGACATAAACATACCTTTAACTATTGTTTTAACATAAGCCTTGAAAGCTTCCTGACTTGTATTTATCCTTTAAATAACAGCCAAAGGAAGGACAATCAAATCAGATGTTTTCTCAGTCATTCTTATCCTGTATTTAATCCTTATTACTCCCTCCTTGCATAACGCAGGGCTGTCCCTTTTGCTAACCATGCTGAGTATATCAACCGTCTTCTTGTGATTAACACAGTGATGCAATGAGAGTTATTAAAAGGTAGTTAGTAAAGCGGAGCAGGCAAGCTGTTCTAAACTTAGTGTAACCTGAAGCAAGCAATGAAGTATCCTCTGGTTCCTTTGGTGAATGATCTGACCTTTCCTCTTCTTTTCTTCTGGTTTTGTTTGCCGTTTGTAATGCTGTCGATCATAATGATTATCTGGCTACAGCTTCTACTTAATGAAGGTAAGTTCCGCAGTTGATCAGTTAAAATGCTCCTGCATAAAGGCTTTAGCTGTTAGCTTCATCTTTAAAGCACTCTGCTAGCTATTTTTAGGCTAATGCCACTTGACACAGAGGGAAACTAAGGGGTTTTTTTGTACTGTTGGTAGCATATGGAAAACCAAACTCAAATTACTATGCTTTTCTGTTAAAAATGTTAAAGACTACAAGCTGCTGCCCACTGTTCTTCCTTACTCTCTCCCTTTTTCTTAAAGATCGTTTAATTTAAGAAAGGCAAGTAATTTTGGTAAATTTCTATAAAAATATCCTCCAGAAAGCAAACCTAACCCTCTCATTTTGTATGCTTTCAAACATTTGTACACTTTCTGGCATGATAGTTCTCTTACACTTCTCCTTTTTTTCTGGGGGTGGGGGATGTTACCTAGGTAGCTGTTAAGGGATTCTTTTATCAATGCTGAGGCCGATAGAAAATTTTTTAAGGGAGCAGGACATTCATTTTCATTTATTTGTGTATTTTGCTCTTCTTTCTAATCCATCACTGGTTGTTATTTCTAATGTGCCAGTAACTGATAACAGGTTTTGGTTGAGGCTAGTAATAGGCTTGTTGATGTACTCATGAGGATAAAGCCTTGCTAGTTTGCTCTAATACTGGAGCAATCCTGGCTGATGAATCAATCGTAAGTTCAAAAGCAGTGATTCTGCCTTTGCAAGACAGCTGTAGGAAGGAAAATTGTAGAACAAACTTTTACTTCAGCAAGCTCTTACCTCTATTTGGTGCCCTCTGTTCTTACTTAATAACATGGTAGCCAGTCCTATAATAGATCCCATAGGAATAGCAGCAATGAGACAATACCCACAAACAGCAGAGGAACAGGAGGTGCTTGCCTCAGCAAGGGCTTGTATTCTTCCCTCCTTTCCTGTCCTACGTGTGTGTGCACACTGAATTTTTTTTCCTTTCAGCTCTCATTTTGCAGGCTTAGCACACAGCTGATGCTCATAACAGCCTCTATTTGCTTCAGTAGTAAAATATCTTCCTTCCACACACTGAAGTCTACTCTTGAGGATAACTGAGCACTGTAATTAAAAAGCGCAGGTTATAAGAGGTTGTGACAATTGTAATTGTACAAGCTACCCTGGGCAGCATAGGCATAGCTTACTGATGTCTGAAAAGCAGAATAAAATATCTGTTTTGCATAGGTAAAGGGTAGCTGTGCCATATACTTACACTGTAGGGGAATATCAGCTTTTTGCCTGGACAAAGGAACTCTGGAATCTCTTGATGCTTTGAATGAGACTCACAACAGGCAGAAGTAAGAAGTAGTGTGTGTTTCAGCTCCTCCTTTAATATAGTTGCTGATTAAGAGCTAATTGGTTGAAATCAAACACTTGTACCAGCCTCTTATTGCCTAGTTGGGTTTGTAAATCCTTTATTTCAAATGAAAAAGATTCAGAAGAACTTTGCCCAGCTCTTAGATAGGATATTCAAGGCTTACAGCTAGGGAGAAAAAGTTACATACAAGTGTTTTACATGTTCTTTTTAAACCTATTTCTGGCAGAGATACCTAGTGCAGAAGAAATAAAGAAACCATCTTCTGATGAGCCTGATTCTGACTCTAAATTTGAGAGTGAACCAACAGAGGAAGAAAACCAGGATAACACATCCGGTACGGAAATGCAAGAGGAGACACAATCCAATGGATCTGTGGGAAAACTGAGGCCCAAGCCTGCTTATCTGAGTTCAAATCCAAAAAAGCAAAAGCAGAGTCTTTTTGCTGTGATCTCAGACAGCTGGTCTCAGAACCGGAAAATAAGATATTCCCATGTTGAGAAGAGCAATTTCTGTAACATAATGATGGTGAGTAGCGTGACCAGACTACCTCTTTGCATATCCACTGTTTTTGTGCCTCAGCTCTGACTTTTTTATCTCTGCCTGACTCCCTGGCCTCTTGGGTAAGAGAAAGCTGCAAGATAGGTTTCTTCTTGGTTAATGAATAACAAGAGGGTTTTTTTCTGTCTTCCCTATTTGGAATGACTCCTATTGTAGACGAGGTAAAGGTTGCACAAAATTGTACAGAATATCATATCTGTGTACTGTATAAATAAGCGTGTATGTATTTCAAGGTATGTATACATATTTTAAAAGTACTTGAGCATTGCATTTGAAACAGTGAAAATTGCTACCTATTCCTCTAAGATAAGAAGCTTAACTCAGCTGTATATAGAAACTCTCCTGGTATGTATGGCTGATATGTATTTTTAAAAGATGCTTCAGATTTCTTACAGTGGAGTATGTGACTAAAAATTAGACCTATTTCACTTGCTCAATAAGAGCTGAAGCCAGAAGTCTCTACAAACATGGCAGTCCCAATCCTCTTAGGCTTTACACAAATCCCCAGAGGTATATTTGAAGCAGTGGAAGAGCTTAGTGTCTGGTGTGTCTTCCTTTTCCTTGTGCCTTGACTGTATGTTCCTTTGCAGAAGGGGCTCAGAAAGGAAAGCTGGTCTGTGCCTCCACTGTCACTATTCACAGTCCTGTCTACTCATTTACATTGCTGGGATTTTTGAATTGCAGCAGCTGAGGTACTCACTCACATTTACTTCCACCAGTTTTGCTGGAGCAGTAACGTTTATTAGGCTAGAACAGCTAAGGATTGGTATCATCTTAAATTGCTGCGGTTGTTTGCCTAGCACACCCTGAATCTGAGCTTTAGCGTGGAATATGTAATATCTCAAGTCAAAGTATTTTTGACATCGTTAACACCACCAAGGCAGTACCAAGTCAGTGAAGTAACATTTTTCTTTCATTGTTGTTCAAAGGCTAGAGAAATGATGCTAAGAATGAGCTTGAACTTGTCCAAGGTACTATTTGGCTCTCCTGGAGCTCTTCCTATATACAAGTATTGATTCGGCCACAGCAGTCTGAAGAACTGGGGTTTAAACTTGTCTCTTGTAGGACATGATACTCATACTGAAAGGCTTGCTAGTTGTGTTGGGTGGATAAGGGAAGGGAATAAGCACTCATGGTCTCAAATCATTTATTTCCTACTGAAAATTGAACCTCTTCTGGAAACATCATTGTCATGATGTGTCACAATTCTGTTCCTCCTTTTCTTCACCAGCTGTTGTGCACCATACTTTCTTCTCTCACCTGGAACTTTCTCTGCCAGTTGCTCCAGATCTCTAATGTCCTGAGGATTCAACTGCTGCCATCCTCTCTGATTGTCTACATGGCTCAGCTTTGTGTTTTGCTGGGTGAAAAGGTTGTGAAAATCCTGGAATCCCTGAGACTGGAGAGCAGAGGGCTGTTAGCTTCGGTCTTGGGGAGGAAACTGGAACAGAGTGATGAATGAAGCTTGGAGAACAACCTCAGGGTAGAAATAAAGACAGTAGTCCCATGACCGTTAGCAGCAATCCCACTTAGCATCAGCGAGAGCCACTGCAGCATGGCAGAGGGAGGTCAATTCTCTGAAAAGGAAACTCACTCAAGACTAAGTCGACACACACTTGGGTCACAACAGCTACTTTCAGAGTGAACAGTATTGACTGTCTCTATTAAATGGATGACAGCAGCCAGCCTCTTGTCAAGTGCTTGGGGGTGTGCTCTGCTCCCTGCCCACTTTACAGAGGGATGGGTTCCTCTTTTATAAGGACCAAACACTACACCCGCACCAGTGATACTCTCTGTTCGCCACTACTACTCTTTGATTTCAAACAAACAAGATCACGGCAGTAGCTCTCAGTAGCAGTTCTTATTGGAGCTTAAATGTAGTACAGCCCAGTGAGTATTTTACACATACTGCAATTAGCACTCTTCTGATCTCCAACTTGGCAGTTCTCAAAGTAGGAAACCATTTTTCAACACTCTAACAAAAGAAACAAGCCTACCTCCAACTAACAAGAAATAATTAAGCCCTTAGATACTGAGCATGTGTTTCCTTTGTTTCTGTTCAGGATAGGCTTTTCAGCACAGCTGCCAGGCGGATGGAAGGTTAGATTGCAGCCCGAAGAGGCACTCACCAACAACTTAACCAGTTGGCAGGACCACAGGGAGGTTGGTGGGACTGGGATGAGCCATAATTTTGTGCCCTAAGGGTTTATCCATGGGCTATGAACAGAACAGCTGTTTGCTCCTGGTGTTGATGCACACATTCAACAAATTTTTTTTTTTTTTTTTTTTTTTAGTAAAAGAGGACCTGAATTAGGAAGTCACATTCCAAAGAGTACTTTGGTGCTTGTGAAAAATGTTTGTCTCTGCTCCTCGTGTGAAGTAACTGTGTCTCTCGGGAGCCTTGCACGGGCAGACTGTGTAAGGGTTCCGCTAACCCGCACTAATGCTGAAGCACACCTTGCCTGTGTTTACTTGTCTTTCCCTCCCCATCCCCTGGACTCCGTGTGTCCAAATATTTGGCCGGAGCGGTATGCGCTTAAATAAAACGGGTTTGTCCACATCTTAATTTTTGCAGGCCCTTTATTTAGGGGGGGGAAAAAAAAAAAGCTGTTTGCCAAAGGAATCCCGCTGGGGGCTGGGGTACCCCTCCTTTGGGGGGCTGGGGTATA